GTCCCTTACTAGATCTATGAACCCCTTACCAAGTCTATAGTCCCTTACTAGATCTATGGACCCCTTACCAAGTCTAAAGTCCCTTACTAGATCTATGGACCCCTTACCAAGTCTATAGTCCCTTACTAGATCTATGGACCCCTTACCAAGTCTATAGTCCCTTACTAGATCTATGGACCCCTTACCAAGTCTATTGTCCCCTTGCCAGGTCTATGTTTCTATAATAAATCTATGGCCCCATTACTAGATATTTGGTGCCTTTACAAGGTCTTTTCAAACTCTTACCAGGTTTGATTCTCTCCCAGGGTATATAGACATTTTACCATACTTTTGGTTCCCTTACATAGTTAGTCTGGTTGAAAAAAGAGACACACATCCATCCAGGTCAACTATTCTAGTACCAGGTCTATGTTGTTCTTATTAAGTTAATGAATGCTTTAGCAAGTCAATGGCTCCTGTACCAGGACAATGGTAGTCTTACTAGGTGTATGTTTCCCTTATCAGATCTTTGGTCCTCTCACCAGGTTTATGTTCCCCTTATCAGTTCTATGGTTCCCATACAAGGTCTACAGTTCCCATACCAGGTCTATAGTCCCTGTACAAAGAGTAATAATCTTTTACCAAATGTATGGTTCCCTTACTAGATCTATGGTTCCTTAACCAGGTCTATGGTCCCCTTACCAGGTCTATGGTCCCCTTACCAGGTTAATGGACCCCTTAGCAGGTCTATGAACCCCTTAACAGATCTATGGCTCCAATACCAAGCCTATGATCCCTATACCAGCACTACTGACCTCTTTGCAAGCAATAAGGGGGTGGGGGGGCTGCAGAAGACAGCCAGTGACAAGGTAACAGCATGAAAACCTCCTAGGTTCACATCAGGTAATGTCAGAAAACCCACTTGGACCTGAGACAGACTCTGCTCAGGGTTACTTTAATAGGCCTACTGAACCTTTACGAGTTCTAGGGATCCGTTAGCAAGTTTATGCTTCTGCTATGAAATCTATTGTCTTTATAGTAGAACATTTGGCCCCTTACCTGGTCTATGGCAATTTACCAAGACTATGAACCCCTTAACAGGCCAATGGATCCCTTACCAGGTGTATGGACTCCTTGCCGGGTTTATGGACCCCTTACCATGTCTATAGTTCCTGAACCAAATGAACTGAATCCATACCAGAATGTTTTAACCCTTACCAGGTCTATGGTCATCTTACAAAATCTATGAACCTTTTACCAGGTCTTTGGTCCTCTTACTAGGTCTATGGACTCTTTCTAGGTCTGTGAACCCCTTAGCAGATCTATGGTTCATTAACCAAGTCTACTGCCCCCATACCAGGACTTCTAACCCCTTTCCAGGACTTTGAACCCCTTACCAGGACTATGGAACCTTTGCCAGGTTTATGGACCCCTTACCATGTCTATGATTCCTGTACCAAATCTATTGTCCCCATACCAGATTGTTTTACCCTTACCAAGTCTATGGTCGCTTTACTTTGTCTATGAACCCCACCTCTTACCATGTCTATGGACCATTTCCAGGTCTATGAACTCCTTATGAGGTCTATGGTTCCTAAACCAAGTCTACTGCCCCCTTACTAGGACTTTTGACCCCTTACCAGGTCTTTACCAGGTCTTTAAATCCCTTACCAGGGCTATGGAACCCTTACCAGGTTTATGGACCCTTTACCATGTCTGATTCTTGTACTAAATCTACTGTCCCAATACCAGAATGTTTTAACCCTTACCAGGTCTGTGGTCACTTTACCAGGTCTATGAATCCCATTAGCAGGTCTATAGACCTCTTACCAGGTCTACGGACCCTTTTCAGGTCTATGAACTCCTTAAGAGGTCTATGGTTCTTGAACCAAGTCTACTGCCCCCAAACCAGGACTTTTGACCCGTTACCAGGTCTAAGAATACCTTACAGATCCCTTACTAGATCTTTGGACTTCTTACCAGGTATATGGAGCTCTTGCTGGGTTTATGGATCACTTAGCGGCAAATCTATGGAAACCCTTAGAAGTTCACTATCCTGCTATGGTTCTTTATTTTAGATTATCTATGGTATCAAATGCCTATTTTCTGTCTGACCTTTTTTTGTGACATTTACACGTCCCCCCAGTCAACACCTGCATCAATGTTATCTTTTAAATAATTTTGAGGTTCACAATAGATAATGTCGGAAATCCCCTTTAACCCCGGGACAGACTCCCACAACCATTGCGCAAGTAGCTGCGAGGGTAAATTTAATTTGTTAACGCAGCGACAGAAGGGGGGGTAGCGGGCCCTGCAAAACAGTAATCCTGTCTTTCAGCGCAAATGTTATAGGAAGCTATGAATTTGGTGGATGTGAATGGGATGTTGGTACATGTTTTACTAAGGTATTATAATGGCAGCCTATTATTAGATCGCATTAATCATTACTGTGCCAAAGGCACTGACAGGCCCGCTGAATACGATTGAAAGGGTTGTAATGGATATAAATTACCCATTGTGTGATAAAAGGATTTTTTTTTTTTACTAAGGAGGTGAGAATAAAATAGCAAATTCAAATCTGACTGCGGTATAAAAACCCGGCAAAAAATCAAAAGTACAAAAAAAAAAAAAAAAAAAGAGACGGACTCAGGAAATCCGCAGACTGGGGAGGTAAGCAGTTTTTAAACAAGGTGGTCATTGGCCCCCTTGAATTGTGCACTATGCAAAATTAATTTCTGCAACGCATAATGCTATCAGGGCGAAGCAGCAGCGGCGGCGGCGGCGGAATCTCTTTAGCGGGGTGACATTCTGTGATGTGACAGCATTAAAATTCCCTCTCTGCGATTCCACCGCCGACTCTCAGTCCCGGGCGGCTGAGGGTCGACGTATAGATAAATATATACGTCTTCCCTCCTGCGGCGTTTGATCGCGGCGTCGAGTGCCTCTCTTCATCCAGATTTCAAGCCTAACTGAAACGTCTCGGCGGAACTGACAGCGTTTAGCGGACGTGTTAACTTAGAGGGAGACGCCTGAACCGAGCACGTAATGAGTTTGCTGCTTTGAGATTAACCGCGTGTCAGGTAGGAGGTAATTGTCTGTAAGAGCCGAGTGCTTAAGGAAAAAAAAAATGTTTTAAAGGACTTCTCCACTGTGAAATGAATGCTGCTTTAGGATTCCCTCTTAAAGAGAACCTGCACACCGTCTGCGACAAGTACAACTGGGGCGCTTTAATCGCTTTTCATCCACCTCCCGTTACACAATTGGACGTTCAAAGTTTAAAAAAAACTTTTTTGCAGGAACCGCTTTCTCACTAGGTGAGGATAACATGCCTCCCACCTGAAGCCTCCTGAGATATTCATGTATCTCTCTCTGAGGCTACAGATCTATCTCCTGTATACATGCTGTCAGGAAGGGACTTGCCAGTAATGGTGGGACTCACCTGCCTTGTGGGCTACAGTACCAGGGCTGGCCAGCGGGTGCTCCCAGCAATCAGAGACTCAACCCTGCAGCCAGCCAAACACCTGAAGCTGATCATGCAGGTGTATTTAAGGGATGGCCAGACCTGCAGTCTCTGCCTTGGTGTGTGTTTTTCCTGGGCCCTGTATCTTGTTACCTGCATTCCTGTTCCTGTTCCTGTCTCTGTCTGACTGATTCGTTGCTGACCCTGCCTGATCCGGACCTCTGCTGACTTCTCCTGTTTGATCCCTGGCTTGTGACCCCGACCATTCTCTGCCTGACCCCCTGTTCCTACCTGCCCGATTGTTATTGACCCGGCCTGCCTGACGACGCTTGCATTGTATGTATTATCTGTGGGTGGTTTGGTTTGGTTCATTTGCACTGTGTTATGTTTTAGTATTGCACTGCGTTTATGTATTGTTAGTGTTAATAAATTATATTGTTTATATCATATCTGAAGCCTGCGTTTCCCTGCGTCAGTTCACATACCTCTGGTCATACCCTGGAGCCCTGACACATGCACAAGTTAACCAAAAAACAAATTGTTGTATCACTATACGTTAACCAGTGTTTTGCTTGCGCAATGATTATTTTGAATAACAAACATAAACAAGACATCATGCAAACAATGATCCCCCTGAGGAAGTCACGTGTCTTGGTGACGAAACACGTAGGGTCGTGCAGTGGCAGAGAGGTAGGTTACATCAAACAATAATGAATTCATTAGGCATGTGTTTTTTTGAGGACAACCCAGCAGTCAACGTACGAGGGGAAGAAAAAAAAAAATATTAAGTTCCTCTTTAACTGGTGTCCTTCTTGCATATTGCTTTGCTCCCCTGCCATGTAGTCCTCCTGCTGGACAGAAGAGAGGACTTTCTAGACAAACTGCAGTCCTGAATTGGCTGTGGACAGTTTCTATGTCCCCATGTGATTGTTCTGGGTGACTAAACAGCCAATCACCACTCATGGGCGAAATGGGCATGAGTTCTATACTCTCTATACCTGGGTTTTAATCTTTGCTTAGTAGTGGGGGGGGGGGGCAAAGCAGCTGGGAAGGGTGGCCAAGGGTGAACCTGTTACTTTTCTTCACTTGGGCACCTGTCATAAAAGAAGAGCGATAACTGCCATTGCTGGACTTCATGTGAAAATGCTCTATGCCCGGCTGTGCCTGGACAGCAAAGGAAGCCTCCATAATTCTGTCATAACGGATACACTCTAGAAAGGACTTAGGTGCCAGGGAGAATGCTTTCCTTGTTGCTGCCTCCCAACTAGTCACCTGCAGGTACAAAGGGGTAAGGGCAGCATTGATAGGGTAATAAAGAGGAGTCACGAGACTCTCTGAAGCTCAGGAAACATGCAACTATCTCTGGTTCTCTACAGGCTCTGCCTCCAAGGCTCAATTCTAATTTCCAAAATACGGTTGGGAATGAAATAGAGGTTTATACAACATCAAGATTTTCACTAGCTTGGGGGAAGAATGAAGTTTAAATACTGTACAACTCTCAGGAAACTGGACTTGATTTTTTTTAAAGTGTTCCCAGACCCTGCATTCTCTATATCCGGTCTCCCCGGACCCTGCATTCACTATATCCGCTCTCCCCGGACCCGACATTCACTATATCTGGTCTCCCCGGACCCTGCATTCACTATGTCTGGTCTCCCCGGACCCTGCATTCACTATGTCTGGTCTCCCCGGACCCTGCATTCACTATGTCTGGTCTCCCCAGACCCTGCATTCACTATATCCCCTCTCCCCAGACCCTGCATTCACTATGTCTGGTCTCCCCAGACCCTGCATTCACTATATCCCCTCTCCCCGGACCCTGCATTCACTATATCCCCTCTCCCCAGACCCTGCATTCACTATGTCTGGTCTCCCCAGACCCTGCATTCACTATGTCTGGTCTCCCCGGACTCTGCATTCACTATGTCCGCTCTCCCCGGACCCTGCATTCACTATATCCGCTCTCCCCAGACCCTGCATTCACTATATCCGCTCTCCCCGGACCCCGCATTCACTATGTCTGGTCTCCCCAGACCCTGCATTCACTATATCCCCTCTCCCTGGACCCTGCATTCACTATATCTGGTCTCCCCGCACCGGGTGATACTGACCGCACAGGGTGACACCGGACCCGCTCCACGAAAAGGTAAGTTGTAAAGCAAACCGACGATCCCCGCAGGATGGATCCGATCTGCAGATTGGGGAGCATAGTGGATCGGAGTCCGATCCATCATGCTCAATCCGCAGATCCGATCCATTCTGCGGGGATCGTCGGAGGGGGTGTCACCAAGTGTTACCGCACCGGGTGACACCAATGCTAGGGACGCCTCTGGAAATATACCTGCACTGTTGCATGCTGTATCATGTGACAACCCATGGTTCATTTTGCATCGACCACCTTAAAGTGATTCCAAGCCTATTATTTTTTCTTGAAAATGATAAACATGTCACCCTTACTTCCTTTTCTGGGGTTCCCCACCGGCGCTCTTGGCTCCCCCCCCCCACATATGTGTCCCCATAGCAAGTCACTTGCTATGGTGGCACTCGTGCGTGCTCGCTCCCGAGCCGGCTGTGTGTGTCTGTTGCCACACCAAGCGTGGCTTGGCCCCACCCCCTCCTCACTGGCTGTGATTGACAGCCGCAAGAGCCAGTGGCTCCTGCTGCTGTCTCTGAGCCCATGAGGAGGGAAAGAGAGGAGAGAGCCTCTGCTTTCAAGCACAGCGCTGGATCGAGATCAAGCTCAAGTAAGTATAAAGGTGGGGGAGGGGAGCTGCAGAAGGTAAAAAACCTCCTGCTTTTAGAACCACTTTAACACAACGCATGGTAAAGCACAACATAACGCATGCTAACTCATGGAGAAAGAAGTAAATGGGCCCTAAATTTGCACAGTTGCTACTTTGTAGCTCATCAACCCCGCTGACTCCACCGTGTGAGTGATGTAGCAGCAACCGATGCAAGACCTATGGGCCTTAGAACTTCTTGCTCCAGTTGCTAATTTGTAGCATGCGATAAACACGCTGACGTCCCCAGTTGTGTTAAAGTGAGTTCTAGAAAGCTCAACAGCGGCGCCTGGACCATGGTGCTAACCACCGAGCCACCCTGCTGCAAAGGTTGAAAATACCGCCAAGGCTTTTCCCACAAAAGATTTAATGGAGAGGTGTGTGTCGAGGTGCACGGGATAGCTCCAGCTGCAGCGTCTTCTGCAAGCTGAAGTGTAGACAGATGGAGAAGCGAGGTGCCAGCAAGGATGAAGATGCTGAGAGCTGAAAGAAGGATTTCATACTGAAGGGGATTAGCCAGGAAATAAAGTATCATTGAGATGTTTCATAGGAAAACAGCTGAACAAGCTAAACAAATGTAATAAAAAAAGAAAAAAAAAAAGAAAAAAGATTTCACCAAAGAAGCGGGGGCGTTAATGATTATTTTAGATAATGTAATGGTGCAAAATGCACAAAATGAAACACTAATAGATGAGAAGATACACTGAGCTGTCAAAGAAATAGGACGCTTCAATCTTCCTGCGCTTGGGGAGTGGGCCGGGGGCATTAATGGGCTATGGTCAGACACTTGGCCGACACTTGGCCATCATGGGGTGCACTTGCCTCGCTGCCCTCACAAGACTGGGGAGGTCCAGGAACACTGCAGTAATGATAAACACATAGAGAACCCGCCGGCCAAGTGTAGTGTCCTTTAACTGCTTCAGGACCACCCTATAGCAGATATACTGCTGCAGGGCGGCAGCTGTGCGCAGGATCCTGTATACTGTATATATATATATATATATATATATATATATATATATATATACGTCATTCTGTGCCATGCTGCCATCACAAGACTGGGGAGGTCCAGGAACACTGCCGTAATGATAAACACACAGAGGGCGCACCGGCCAAGTGCAGTATCCTTTAACCGCTTTAGGACCGCCCTATAGTAGATATACTGCTACAGGGCAGCAGCTGTGCGCAGGGTCACGTATATATACGTCATTCTGTGCCTTGCTGCCCTCACAAGACTGGGGAGGTCCAGGAACACTGCCGTAATGATAAACACACAGAGGGCGCACCGGCCAAGTGCAGTATCCTTTAACCGCTTTAGGACCGCCCTATAGTAGATATACTGCTACAGGGCAGCAGCTGTGCGCAGGGTCACGTATATATACGTCATTCTGTGCCTTGCTGCCCTCACAAGACTGGGGAGGTCCAGGAACACTGCCGTAACGATAAACACACAGAGGGCGCACCGGCCAAGTGTAGAGTCCTTTAACCTCTTCAGGACCGCCCTATAGCAGATATACTGCTACAGGGTGGCAGCTGTGCGCAGGATCACGTATATATATGTCATACTGTGTTTCCGGGTAGGGGGCACGCACGCACTCCCTACCCGCGCCAGCATTCGTGGCCGCGGATGTCAATCACCGAGTTTCGCCCAGTAATTACCCACCGGTGCCCGGTGATTACTGAGCATCTCCGACGAGGAGGGAGATTGTTTTGTTTACAATCTTCCTCCCTGTCAGCTCAAGCACACGGCTCAGTATAGCTGTGCACAGAACAGCCATCCTGATCAGTGTGCTTACAGTGAAGAACACCCCGCCCCCTAGTAAAACACTCCCAGCACACAGTTAACCCTTTGATCGCCCCTCACATCAACCCCTTCCTGCCCAGTGCCATTAGTACAGTGTCAGTGATTTTTTTTTTTAACACTGATCACTGTATTGGTGTCAATGGGGATGTCAGTGACACCAAGTTAGTGCCCCCCCCCCCGTGTCAGAATGTCTGCCGCAAGTCACGCAGTCCCGCAGTCCCACTAAAAGTTGCTGATTGCCGCCATGACTAGTAGAAAAAAAAATATCATTATCTATACTGCCATTTGTAAATGCTATAACGTTCACGTAAACCGATTAATTTACACGTATTGGGACTATTTTTTAGCACACAAGCAGCAGAATAGATTTTAACCTAAATTTATGACAAAATTAGCTTTTTTAGAATTTTTTTACTGGACATGTTTAATAGTAAAAAGTCCAAAATATAGTTTTTTTCTCAAAATTGCCGGTCTTTTTTTTTTTGCTTATAGCGCAAAAAATAAAAAAAGCACAGGTGATCAAATACCACCAAAAAAAAGCTCAATTTGGTGGGGAAAAAAGGACGTAAATTTCATTTGGGTTCAGCGTTGCATGACCGTGCAATTGTCAGTTTATAGTAACACAGCGCCGTAACGCAAAAAATTACCTGGTCATTAAGGGGAGTAAATCCTCAGGAGGGGAAGGGGTTAAAATAGTGAATTTATTGTAAAAAAAAGGTAATTATTATACTCACAATGTCATAAAAGGTGCAAATACATCTCTTTTGGTACAGCACAAACTAAGTATCACGGTGTACAGAAACGAGGGAACATCTAGAACTGACGCGTTTCGAGGACTTATCCTCTTCCTCAGAGCCTATCGAGCTAATAGCTGCTCCTCGACTGATATCTGGTGGTAAATATAGGCCACCAATCAATCCAGGGGTGCACTGAGCTGCACTCCTGTCAATGTGTGGTATCAACTGCCAATCTCTGGCACATGGAAGACGTAGAAAAGCAATGAAGGTATTGGGTCAGATTTGTCATCAACTGATGCTTGATTTTTTTTGTTTTTTTGTTTTTTTTTACATTAATTAATATGCTGGAGTTTTTAAATTTGTGTCCACATTAAGTGCTGCAGCAAGGGTTAAAATAGCCTGTGCTAAGAGCACTCAGGGAAGTTGGGCCAATCCTCTCACAAAGCAGCGGCACAGCTCTCCAGCCGTCCAACACACCCTCCCTCCAATACATTGCTTGCTCAACCACAATCTGCAACCAATCAATCAACAGCACTGTTTGGGGAGGAAGAGTGATGTCCATTAGATCCGTATTCAGAGGTGCATATTAGACTGCCTGAGTGTTGGGTGGCTGCATTGCCTGTGAGAGCAGCAGCCCGACTCTCTTACATGCTGTCAGCACAAGCCATTTGAACCCCATCCTTCACCCCCACCCCTTCTTAATAATGCTGCAATTAACAGCACTGCCCAGGTAGCAAGAGTGGTGTTGATTACACAACAGTGTTCGGTGGGGCAACAGAATGCGTGAAAGCCAAGCTATTGCACTGTGTGAGAGCAGCAGTCTGACTCTCCTATGTGCTGTCAGCACAGGTTATTTCAACCCCATCCTTCAGACCCTCCCCTGATGCCTTCTAAACACTGCTCCAATAACAGCACTGCCCAGGTAGCAAGAGTGGTGTTGATTAGAACAGTGTTCAGATAGAGCGCCAGACTGTTTGAGAGCCAGGCCGTTGCACTTTGTGGGAGCAGCAGTGTGACTTTCCTATGTGCTGCTAGCACAGGCTATTGTAACCTCCCTCCCCGTGCCCACTGAACTCTGCTCCAATGCTGCTCAGGTATTAAGAGCGGTGTTGATTACAGCAGTGTTCCGTGGGGCACCAGAATGCTTGAAATCTAAGCTATTGCACTGTGTGAGAGCAGCAGTCTGACTCTCCTATGTGCTGTCAGCACAGGTTATTTCAACCCCATCCTTCAGACCCTCCCCTGATGCCTTCTAAACACTGCTCCAATTACCAGTGCTGCTCAGGTAGAAAGAGTGGTATTGACTGCAGCAGTTTTTGGTGGGGCAACAGAATGCGTGAAAGCCAGGCCATTGCACTGTGTGAGAACAGCAGTCTGACTCTCCTACATGCTGACAGCACAGGTTATTTCAACCCCATCCTTCAGCCCCACCCCTGATGCCTTCTAAACACTGCTCCAATAACGGCACTGCCCAGGTAGCAAGAGTGGTGTTGATTAGAACAGTGTTCAGGGAAAGCGCCAGCCTCTTTGAGAGCCAGGCCGTTGCATTGTGTAAGACAGCAGTCTGCTTTTCCTATCTGCTGCTAGCACAGGTTTTTTTAACCTCCCTTCGCGTGCCCACTGAACACTGCTCCAATCAACAATGCTGCT